AACTCCGAGTGTGTGTGTGTACGGATCAAGCCGGCGCCTTCCCGCGATCTTCACTAGTACCTGAAACAATAACATCAAACACTGTAAGCACAAGGCTTAGTGAGTTCCCCAAAATACCACATATAACACATATTAGCCACTCGAGGCTATAACTCTGTGGGTCCGTGCACCCAAACTCTGTGAACCCTCAGGTTCTATCTCTGATAAACATGCACTACATAAATCACATAGAAATAATGCAGTACAACACATAACATGCATAGCATACAATACTCTATCACATAACTCAGGTTACCTACTCAAGGTAATATAGTATAGTGAGAAGACTCACCTCGCGTATCTCGGTATCTCACGAATCCTGGAAATCCCTCGTGCTCGATCCTCCGAGCTCTAATCCTCCTATAACATTATATGCTTCTAATTAACACTTTATATCTCTAAGGTTGACTATCTATAATGAGTCAACACAGGTCAACTCTGGTCAACGGTCAACGGTCAACGGTCAACTCTGACCGGACTCGGCGAGTACCAAGGCGACTCGGCGAGTCTAGACGTTTTTATCAACCCTCTGAAATCCTCTTACTACACGTCGAGTATCCCCCCTTTACTCGACGAGTTTCACCTGAATGAATCGCGGTGCCACCCCGACTCAACTCGCCGAGTCTCAAGGACAACTCGGCGAGTCCAGGTTTGACTCAGTCCACTCGTCATCCCTCTCCAACTCACCCTGACTCATTGAGTCTACCCATGACTCGATTGGACCACTCGCTGAGCAGTCCCAAGGCAATCTTCAAGCTACTCGCCGAGTCGGATGAACAGAGTCGGCGAGTCCATGCCATGCAACCACTCCAACTCGCTTCTAAGGTCAGATCTGCTTCCAAAAACTATAGATCTGGCCTCCCTCGACTGATTCATCACGTAAAGCTCCTATCTTGGTGCTCATAACACACCCTATAACTCAATAATGGCGTTTTTGACCCAAGGCATGAGGATTCCAATCCAAAGCCTCCATTGATCCCCAAAAGCTTTGGGTAAAGGGACACTCTGGACCTCTAAGGGTCCAGATCTATGGTTCCAACCTCATAAGGGACCAAAAGAACACCAAATCTTGCCATAAAAGGGTTCAACAAACCCTAAATCTAGATAAGCAACAACAACAAGAAGGTAACTCGGATTTATTACCACAAAAGTGATGCTCTAGACTCCAAATCCACAGAAGTTGCTCCTTCTTGCTTTCCCTTGGCTAGCTCTTCTCCTTTCCTTGCAAAAATGGCACCTCCAAGGTCAATAATGGCCTCCTACTTAGCTCCAATGCTCACACTCGATTAGGGTTTCACTCAAGGGGCTGGTGAGCACAAATGACGGCCATTAGGCCCTTTAAATAAGTCTCAAACCCGAGAAATTAGGGTTTCATTACACAGCGCTGACTCGCCGAGTCCATATCCTGGACTCGTCGAGTCCAGGCGCAATCCTGCTTCCCTACTCGGCGAGTCTGAGCTCCAACTCGCCGAGTCCCCCATCACAAAACAACACAATACCACAAACAAGATACCTGATAAAATCCGGCTGTTACATAAGTCTTCATATTCCACATTTATAAAGTATTCTTCTTGCACCTCACGATAGCCTCTTGATTGTAAATCGATGTGTGTGCTGACATTTGGAAGGTCGTAATCACTAAGCTTTTTACTCATAGATTCTAGGAAGACTATAATATTGATGAGGACCATATTTTGCTCTCGTTCGGCACATCCATAGTGTTTCCTGTTATCTTCAGAAAGAGAACTATAGTGGTCGTCCCATAACTTGCGAACATTTCCTGGTTCACAAAAAATCAGCATCGTCACGTATAACCTTCTAAGTGCACCAGGAAATTGAAATAAGGAAGCCTCTACAAGATATTGTGATAAATTATCATCAGTCTCTATTAAACCTCTTTCAAGAGTTTCTTTTCGAAATGTAGAGTGTAATACACCATTGGATGTGTATAAATCTTCAAAGCAGGTAGGCCCGGTAATATGACATAAAAGCAGGCGTAGGTAGTATCTCCCTCCTTCAGTTGGATTAACATAAACCAGTCGACCAATCATTGGTTTATGTTTCCCGGTCCTCCAACAATGGTTGCTCCGATTCCATGTAAAATGTTTGGGAAAATCCTTATACAAATATTTTCTCGCATTGGAGTCTGCTTTATTATTCTTGAAAAATGTCATCAACATTGAATTTTTTCCTTTCTCCCTATTAACAATGTCTTCCATTCTGTCACCATCTTTGAACCTAACTAATTGTTGATTCAGAAGTTGTATTTGCAAGGCCATCACACAAGGGTGGATTTGTGAAATAGGAAAGCTAAAAACTCGCCATAATGCCTTAGGAGGGGATATACAACGTGCATCTTAAAACTTTCATATCTCATTAATAACAATATTTCCTTGGTCTTTATCAATATGTATAACTTTTTTGTCATGGCCCTTATAAATATATTTGAAGAGGTACTTCACAGACTTTATACTCGAACAAACCTCAATGTTGATATGAAAATTAAACATCATTAACAACTTTGGGTTGTATGGAGCCACCCATCTGTTATCCAATGTTGTATTTCTTACAGTCACCTCAATTCCATTATTTCTCCTTCTATATAATGGATATGAATCCTCTCCTTATGATGTCTTTTCATTGAATTGCCTAGGATATTTGAAACGACATATTTTTGGCACACTCTGCATACATGGACTTTTTCCTCGTAAGCTACCACAAGGAATGCATCATGTGACTTTTGATAAGATCATGCATTTCAGGAAACCTTATTGGGTCGGGAATTTTCGCACACACAAGTTTGTCATAATCGTCTGGATTATTCATCTTATATCTAGGTGTCATTATTAAGAGGAAATGTGCATGTGGCAATCCACGCTTTTGAAACTCTATCACATACACATATGACCCCAACACACCGATTATATGTCTTTGGAATAACTGTACCTTGAGATCCTCTAACTTAGCATGAAAAACTCTTGCAACTAGGTCCGGTCGATCTTGAGCTGACTGTCTAGGTAATAACTCATCATCAATTTCTGTCCATTTTGGATTGCATGTCATTGTAAGAAATATATCAGGCCTCCCATCATCTTGAACTAAAGTCATGGCATCCAGAAATCTTCGTTGCATGTCACATGGACCTCCAATGAAACTTGCAAGTAACACAACTCTTTGTCCAACCCTACTTGGTTGAGCCTCACCGACATTGAAGTAATCAACAACACCCTGGTATAAATCGGCTCTAATTTTGGTTTGGTTCTTTTCAACAAAAACCAAACGTGTAGTCTCAATCTTTATATAGGCATCTTCTGAAAACTGCTGGAAAATCCCCTTCCCATCAAAATCACATTATCATTCGACTGTATTTGGAACTTGTAACAATAGTACTCCTGCATACTTACACTATTTCTGTCTTTTTTTTTTTTGAAGTAAATTCTGTGATATCATAATTTATGTGAAAAATATAAATTTAATATCCATATATTTAAGGCAATATGTGTTACATGTTTTAAATATGTAAAAGAATGTTAAATGAATAGCTTCTGAACCTTCATTGTCACTATGAATTTCATCTATGGCGACCCCATATCTTGGTATTTTAGGATGCCATCCAGACTCACCATTGGGAAAAAAAATAAAGGATACGACAAAGGAGCATAACAACCAAAGTGAGGTTGAATTTCAGTACTATAGTTAGACCTCCCATAGACAATAATACTTCTTTTATATGCAGTGATGTTGTCATTTCCTACAACCCAAATACCAGCAACCTATACAAAGGTGTAGTTCAATAATGTGATTAATATGATATGTATGATAATAAATATGACACATTTAATTTTAAAATGAATAAAGATAAATGTTAATATTCACACCTAAGATGTGGTCGTCTTATTGTACACCCTTTGGTTAAGTTCCACCGATGCATTCAAAGTCACTATATTATTATCAAGCGGTCCTAGATTAGAAAGACGTTTAAATGTTCTAACGTACGGATTCAAAGCAAGAATATGTGTTAGTTTTTGAATGATTCTTCTATCAACATTCTTCTAGGAGGATCTCTATGATATTTCAGCTTCACCATCATAAAAATACAACTGTAAATACCTCGATTTTCCATCACTTGAAATTAATTGATCGATATTATGATAGAATATTATGTGCGCACAAAAAGTGTAAACTCCAGCAGTCATATTGGTTAATTCTTCATCCACCTTTACACCCATTGATGCAAAAGAAAATTTTGAGTTATACGCCCTTATATTGTACCCGAAGCTTTCTTCTAGTTGCTCTTACCTAGTGAAGAGTTGGTGAAATTCTGTGGGATTAGAGGAGTATACCAATTTTGTCTTCCCACTCATGCAACAAAAGGTAGGGAATTCATATTATAGTCACTTTGCTCCACAATAAATACAAGGGCTTTGAGCATTTAATATATGATGTTCCATATAGATGTTTTCGTATACAAAATCATATGGATCCTCATGAAAGGTGTATACTCTTATTTTTGCCATCATAGTTTGTTCCTTTCTTCGTTGATAATATTCTTTATTATAAGTACTCGTCCTCTGAACTACACTTATAACACTCACAGATGAATCTTCGTTGATATTTGTTTCGTTTGTCTCCATTGTAATGCAACTTGTGAGTGTTGTAGGTTGACTACATCCTTCACCGTTAGTTATCCTTCTCATTTTGTTTTTCTCTTTTTTTCGTGCGTAATAGTTTCTATTGTATATTTTTCGATTCTCTACAAATATGTTATTTTGATAAATAGTCATATATTATAAATATAAATATATACTCATATAAACGACATACATTTTTCTATATCTATCGGGTTTTGAAAATCATCACAGCTTTCGTTTCTCTTATCTATGATCCACATTTCACACTATAATGGAAATGTTAAGACTAAGCATATATTATATCATCAAGAATGTAACATTTTGTAATGTAGACCATGTGATTTAGTAGTTATGTATGTGTATGTTTCACACGAATAAAAGTACAACAAATAATATACTCTAAATAATACAAGAAACAATTGTACGATACCAAAAGCTTAAAGCCTTTGGTGATGTGATGGGATGAACGTTAACAATTTTAAAAGTACAAACTTTTCATATATCCGATTTGAACATTAACAACTGTATACATGCTCATTAATTCAACAAAAGATTCTCACATGAAACTAATTTGTTGTTAAAAAAATCATCAAATTTGATTTTAACATTAATTGTTTTAGTTTTTCAGAAAGCAACACAACCCTTAATAAATAACTAATTATACTAAAAACTTGTAATCCAAAAGCACAATAGAAGAAATTAATACATAGTTGAAAGAAAATTTTCATAGATATCCAAAAATTATTATATATCAATTCATAAGCCAACATAAAAAAAACAATAAAACACACATGAAAAAAAATTCACCACAATATATCTAACATTAATGTATATCAATTTTAAAAGCAACGCACTCGTAAAAGTTGTCAAAAAAAAAAAAAAAAAAACCCATCAAATGTCTCACACGGAATTAAAAATTCTTCTAGGCATATTTATGATGTTAAATGCTTCTGGCATCTTCGGTTGGAACTGTACGTTGGTTAATTTTGTTGATATCAAAATGTTCACTGAAAATAAGATAAAAACTATTACAACGTATTGATTTAGTTATTTTAATATCACTACAATTATTATAATTATATAGAAAAAAATTACTTGAATTCAAATGAACCAATTTCATCCGAGAAACAAATATTATATACTTTCTCTTTATCGCATAGCAAGTCTTCACAATCTGATGGCGCGTTCGATCGGTTATATATAGTTTCATCTTTATTATAATCCCCCTATTTATAATTAAATATTTCCAAAGTCATCTAATTTTGTTTTAGTGTAATAATAATAATAATAATAATAATAATAATAATAATAATAATAATAATAAACACTTACGGCCCATCTTGGAGATATAAAGTGAATGAAGTTAACGCTAGTAAACCAAAGTAAAGGGAATAGTTTCGCTTGCTTTTGATGATTTTTCCAACAAAATCTATAAATAACGATAATTAAAAGAATAACTTTTTATTATTTTAAAAACTTTAGAATGCTAAAAATATATATAAGTTATTAAATTTACCGATCATCATTTTTCTCACTGCCCGATCTTCTATTAAACTTTTAATCGAGGGAACCAATGGAAAAACCGGAAACCATGATATGATAGTATCGGCCAAATGATTAAACCGTGTGTTATTGCTGATCCTAATAATCAAATCACCACGTAATAAACTGTATTCTTGATACCTCGGATACTCAACATATGTTGATTTGATTTGGAAATGATTTAAAGAGAACACATCATCCAATAGATTTCATTTATAAATAAAACGCATCATTTGTTGTGGAACAACTGCTACCAATTTATCTCTCTAATAGAAAATATAATATTTTTATAAACATAATACTTAAGATAAATTATGAAAATGAAAATAAGATATAAATAATTTTTTAAACATACATTTTGATCAATGAGAACAATGAAAAGTTTATTTGCTCTTGCATCTCTCCAAATGAAATCCATACGAACGGGTATCAAAATATACCACAAATAGAAGTTTAGTAGCAATGAAAATCCATCTACGTAAATGTAACCGTTCATAATACTAAAAAAAAATCTTTGAATTAATAAGGTCTTCTTTTAAACAATATAAAGAAGTTTAGGTGTAGATTAAGTTTGCTATTAAAAAATAGGGAAACATGACAATTTGTTAAGTAATATATGTTAAAAAAACAAAATATTAATTGATCTACAATCATTAATTGTTTAGATTTTTTTCAAAATGAAATATAAATTACAATAGTTGTATCCTCTATTACGATTTAAAATGAAACATCACATTTTAAGTTTTACGTTATAATAATTTATGTGATTCTTTCTCAAATGTTTGTTATAAAAATAATACAAAAGTAAAGAAAAAACGAACTATATTTGAATAATTTAGAGGAGAAGTATGTTTAGGTTGTTTGAGGAGCTTTTAGAGGCCTGAACGAAAAATGGGCTTCTCCTATTAAAACTTGTGTCCCTTTTATAATAACCATGGAATTCTTTTTCACTATTGCAACTAATTAAGAGATAAAACTATGTGAAAAAGATATAGTTGGTCTGAGAGGATGTTTGGCTAAAGTTTATTTTTTATAAGTTCTTTTTTTATAACTTATTTTTCAACTTTTAAGTTTATTATGATTTAGATTAAGAAAATAAGTTGAACTCATAAAAAATAAAAATAAGTAAAAAAATGAATATATAAAAAATAAACTCAGAAAATAAGCAATAAATAAGTTTAACTCAGAAAATAAGCAATAAATAAGTTTAACCAAACGCTCCGCTCCCTAAAACACAATAAACTTTTCATCTAGAAAGGATCTCTTTGGCTTCACTCTAGCTTTGACACTAGACAAAAACAGAAAGATAATCAATCAAAGAAAACATGAATTATGAAGTTTTGGATATTAAAATGGGATTTTAACGATATATTTGGTACAAGTTATATATATATATATATATATATATATATATATATATATATATATATATATATATATATATATATTAAAAACCGTTGGTTTTTTCCGGTTGGACCAGACAGGTTTAGACCGGTTTTAGGTTAAACCGCCAATTTTTTCCTGTTTAATTTATATGCGGTTTTGAAACCACATACACCTTAGTCTAATATTTTGATTTTTTTTAAAAAAATTTACATATATAAAAAAGGTTATAATAGTAAAAATGAAAAAAATGTAGATTCTCTTGAAGTATATACTGAAATTAATTGCCAAAAATGAAATGCACATACACAAAAAGATAATGTTGAAGTCTCTACTCCTGCAATCATAAAAACATAAAAGACAGATTCACTCAAACTCAAAAACAAAAGCACACAATGTCCAAGCATATACATATACAAACCACACATATATACAATGTCACAGACAAATACATACACACATATATACATATTATATGCATGTATTATTTGAAACAGAAGAATTTTATCATTTCAAATAGAATAAGTTTATCACTTTAGACAGAAGATAGAAGAAAATTATCATTTGAAATAAAAAAAAATCTATCACTTCAAACAGAAGAAGTAAGAAATAAAATGTTATAGACACACTTGAAGTTATAATAGATAGAAGTAAGAGAACCTGAATTTGTGTCAAGAAATGCAATGCAAAGAAGCAGTCTTCCCGATTCCAAATCAATGATCCAATTGTCCCGAAACCCTAACTGTTGAATTGTGCGGTAAGAGTTAGACATGAAGAACACATATATAAATTTATAGGTGGAATAATCTATTATAGAATAGAAAATGATGTATTTTTGGATATTGATAATCATTCCAAAATTAATCAAATTAAAATTTTACTATGAATATTAACATTGACAAATATACTTGAAAATTTAAAATAGGATATAGTAGATGTCAAAATCCATACAAAAAATATTTAAAATCATACAAACTTAACAAATATACTAAAAAATTTTAAAATGAATATAATAACTGTCGAAATCCCTACCAAAAATATTTCAAATCATACGAAACTTAATCATATTATTATTATTATCATAAAAATTGACAAATTGACCAAAAAAAGTCAGCACTGTTATTATTTGCAAAAATAATTATATATTATGTTATAAGACTTTCATATCGTTATAAAGTTTTTTTTTTTTTTTTTTTTTAACTCAGCTAAATTAAAAAAAAAATTCTTAAATTTACCAAAAAATCTAAAACAATCATTTCTTGTATATTTAAGTCATCACCCATAACTAGTCATTCACTAGATAATAATACATATATACAAATACATACATGTATACTTAGTATAAAATAACAATGTAGTTTTTGTGTATTTGAACTTTAATGTTTATGTTTTATTCTTTTTATTCAAAAACACTTAAATACATTCTAATTATACCTTATAATAATTCATTTTATATTTCAATTTATTTAAATATAAAATTTATTGACCAATGTATAATTTTGTAACATTTAACCGGTTAACCATATCGTTAAACATGTTTTGTCACTTTGGTTCGAATATTTGTCAAATTTAGATCCTCCACAACTATTAAGCCCACGTTTTACATAGAACCTAACTTAATTATCAACTAGATAAATGTTGATACAAAAATTAAGTTTGTTGCGTTCAAATGATGTTATGTGCTAATTTTCACGAACCGATGATGGTTCGTAGTCATACATCATAACGAAATTTATCATTAGTTACTTGTTTTATATTTCACAAGAACTTATTTAAATAAAAGAGGTTAAATTCCTTCAACCATTCTTGATAAAATACTCATATTGCTTAATAATCAAAACATAGCATCGTATGATCGTTCCTATTTTTACCAATTGTTACAATCCAGAACCTCCTTGGAGTATGGATGATTTTAGAGGCTCTTGATAGGGCTTCTGGAAGCCTCCAATCAATAAAAGGAAACTAGATAATTACTAATTTGAAATATTATTTAATTTAAGTTCAAATCTAGGGTTTTAGGGATTGTCAGGAAACTATATAAAGGGGTTTAACCTTTTATTTTTGGCCACAGCTTCACCACAAGAGATATCCAAAATTTCTCAAACATATCCCCTCTCTCCTTTAATCCTAGGGTTTATTGA